GAGAGAGAGAGAGAGAGAGAGAGAGAGAGAGAGAGAGAGAGAGAGAGAGAGAGAGAGACCTGCTTGATTTGTTGTTGACGGCGGCCATGGCTGCCGGAGCTCAAGTGACCTTCTGTATAGAACTTTGACTTCTGCAGATACTTTTCAAGTGTGCTGATATCATGTGAGGTTTGGAGTGATGCTGCATGCAATCAAAATGGAGTAAAGCAGGTGTGAGCTTGATAATTTCTGGAGAGCAAAAAATTCATTTGAGTTGCAGAGACCAGGATGTAAAATTTTCCAACTGTTTATAGGGCTGGCTTTCCCTTATGCAAGGTGGTGGATGCTCCTCATCATGGCTTCGTGTCATATCCCTTCTCCAAAACTCCCTTGAAGCCTCACAGCTCCCTGAGTATGATTGTTCCCGTATTCAAACACTTCTTGAAATGTAACTCCTTGCAGATCTCTGCTGAGAATCCTTGTCCTAAATGTTGTTGATCAACGATCTCAATTAGTTTTGACTGGGGGGTATCAGAGTTTTGCTACGTTTGTTGCTTCCACTATGGTGCGGGGGTGTACTCGTGCTGCACAGGCTGGGCTGCATGGCAGAAGGGAAAAAGATAGGTTGGCCTTTTGACGCATCTAGCATGACATTAGACCATTGGCTCGACAATTAACTATATAGTTTTATCATTATGAACTTTTATGAACTTTTATGGCTAAGGGTTACTCAGATCAGGACTATCCTGAATGTACGACTCCACATATTTGTCCGTCCTTGATGGCACTGCCATCTACATTCAATCTGGCTGCCAGCAGCATGGCATACTTTCAGGTTGAATGAGTCCTATTTCTGATTTTCGTGTCTTCTTATGTCTTCAATTTTGTGATTGCTGTCAAACTATTGTACACTGGAACAGGCTTTTTCATCTTATCAGGAGGCTGGGTGTAATTGGCAGTACGGTCATGCAGCAGATATTTGTGCTGGTGATGTACACACTTGGAATAGGTGCGTGCATCGTAGGCCAATGTCAACATTTGCAGCTTAAGACTTGTTGTTCAGTATTTGAAGAACGGAAGAGCGGGTAAGGTTTTCAGTAGAGGTGGTTACATCTGATTGTGGTAATTGTTGAGTAGAGACTGACTTCAGCAACTGCTTGGTGGACACCACCTCCTTTTTGAGTTTGACTACTAGGATTCCTTAAAACCCTTAACTCAGGAAAATTGAAAAATAATCCAAGGACTTTTTTCTTTTTTTTTCCAGTAATGTCTTTCTTGAATAATTCGGCTTTGAATTCCGAGATGGCTCTCAGGACAAAGTTGTCTGTTTCGCAGTGATGCACAACATATCACCTCAGAATAAATATTTTTCAATTTTGTGAAAACTTTGCCCATCCCCAACTCCCTGAGAGCTCCAAACAAATACATGATTGATAGAACTGTCGGGAGTCAAGTTCAGGGGAGAGGAAGGTAGGGCTTTCCTGCATGTACAAAAGCACAATGGCATCAAAATTCAGTCTGAAAGAGTCCTAGAGTGTGTACGCCCTGAAGGAAACAGTTCCAAATTGAAAATTCATTGATGGCAAAGAAGTGGGAGCTTTGGATGATTTGCAGATCAATGTCCTTTCATGTGAGTGATCGCTTGCATTGCTTGAGTGGGTTATCACTTGGCATTTTTGAATTTGGCGAGTGGTGCAGCCTGGCGTTAAATCGGTAAACACAAATGCCAAGTTCCCGACTTGGAAAATCAAGTGATCGTGTTTACAATTGGGATTTTCTTCCAAGACAGCAGGCAGGGTGGTGGTCCTGGGACAAACCCGGACAACTCTGGGACTGCATAATAGCATGGGCCTTCCATCCAATCTGCTCAGATCCCTCCTCACCATCCCCTGTTGTGAAAACTCTTCTTTGAGGCCATCAAATGGTGTATGGAATACTTGCCATTCAAGTTCCTGCACAGACCTCAGAAGGTTGATTGATGCATCAAGGTGAACTGTACAGATCCCCATCTGTTAATGAATCAGTACAAAATTAAAACCGTGTAAACTGGTGTGCCAGCTCTTTCGAAGAAAAGCAACTACTTTGTAGAACATCCATAACACATCATGCATGTCTGGTGGAAACAAGCGGATGTTGCGAAGAGAAGCCCTGTGGCACCAGGCTTTTAAGTTGATGAGACCAGTACAAGTGCACACCATGGCTATGGTCAGCGCAATAAGAAACCGAACAGACATGCGCATGGAGACTGTGACGAAGAAACTTGAGTCACAAGCACGTTTAGCTCTCATACGTCAGCATTGACTAAGTGACCAACCAAAAAGCATAATCAACAAGTCATTGATCACACTTGCATGAGATATTGACAATATTGAGTTTCTTGACAGATAAAGCCCCAAACTCCCCCTCGAATCGATCAAAACAACAACCATAGTACTAGTGAACTGCAACCGACCAATGTGGCTACATACCCTATCTGCCAGCCCAATCCGGCCTACTCTACGGCTTGCTCCAGTGCAATGCCGGATGGCTCAGTGTCCTCCCGCCATTGTTCTGACGAAGAATATACAATCGTGAAACTCTCTAGATGATCATCAGGTATGTCCCTCACCATTTCCTCTCCTCTCACTTTCTCCTCCTTCACCAACGACTTTCTCTCTCTCTCTCTCTCTCTCTCTCTCTCTCTCTCTCTCTCTCTCTCTCTCTCCCCCCCCCGCCCCAAACCCAACCCAATCAGCCCCAGGCAGGCTAGGACCCAGCAACTAGCAGTTGTGCTGGCTGGGTGGCGCCAGCATGCAGCATCCCACCAAGTGCCTAAGCCTAAATGTGCCTCACACTGTCCTGGTCTTTCCTACATGCGTGGCTGAGGCCCTTGTGGCCTCTCATTCCCATCCCCTTAGGTCTGAAGTCCTCTTCATCCTTTTATTGTGCCTTGACCAGCCTTTCATACCAGATATCGAGGTTGGTGCAGACTTCATGAACACTTCCCCTGGGAACCACCAACCTTCACTCCCGTAAGTGTGACATCTGAAGATTCTGAACCATACCTTGTTCTGTTTCCTGTCCCCCCTTCTTTAGCCGTTCAGTGTCAAAGGAACCGTCGACATAAGGTGCAACCATGGGTATGTGGATCGGAATTGATTGTTAGTCACAAAGTGCAACATTTTGAAAGCATGAGAAACAGGATAAGTACGTAGATGAGGAGGGAGATCAATATCATATGTAGGACCATTAGGATTATTTCCTACAGTATCCAATATAGTCCACGGTCCATACTCCACAAGCAGTTGCTTTCTGGAAATATAGAGAGCCCACCTGGAAGTTTGACATTCTCACATGCTTATTAGCTTGTTCGATCACACCCTATTGTGGTTTCTAATGTCATTTATAGTCTTCTGCAAAATTTTAACATATTGTATTGAGTATTCCATTGATCGAAATGGCAAGTTGTGCACTTTGTCAAGAAACGAGAAGTCCAAAGGCTCTTTTGTTGCCCATCCAGTTTGCAGCTGATTCAGAGTCTGTCTTGTAGCAGTATGCATACCATTGTTATAGGTGATGGCTACTTTTAAGGGAAATTTAGCAAATGTTCATTCCAAACGAGTTGATTGGGGTTGATGATGTATCTCAGCAGTGCTTCAGTAGCCGATTTGTCTGTTCAGCCAGTCCACTCGGCTCAGCGTGATTGCCTGAAGTCATGGCAAGTTTTCTGCCATACCTCAATCAATGTCTGACATCTGAGTTAGTATGTGCAATGATCCGCCTTCAATTCCACTCTCAACCGGATATGCAACAATGAAAGTTCATACGATGATTCACACCAATCCAAGAATTTGGGGCAGCGAATTAGTACAGTGCAAGGAACTTCAATGAATTATCATATTACACAATTTGTCAATTACGGATTTAAAAATACCCAGCGCCCACAGCAACGAACAACCCACAAAGGGTAAGTACCGAACTTCCTTGTTCTAAGTGGCAGTCTTTGAATCTGATCTGGATTCAAGCAGTCTATGGGACGCCTAGGACGCCAACCCTTACGCAGTTCCTTAGGTATTCACTAGCTACCTTAGGGAGATGCTCATCCCAATCAATCTGGTCCAGCCTAATCTACATGTGAAGCACTTGCTGTAGCAGCTTATTCATTTATTTGGTCTGTCCATTAGTCTTTGGGTGTCTGCCGGATGACAAAGTCAATCTAGATGCATGGACTTTCATCTGTTGCCGCCAGTGCTCTCTCCCGTGAACCTAGTGTCTCTATCACGGACTATAGTCAAGGGATGCCCGCAAAAACTGCAAATTTGCTAAATCTATCTAGAACAACCATAACCTTACTCTTACCATTTCGACTCTTAACCTTAGTTTCCAGAAAATCTATAGACACAGAGTCTCCTGGGTGAGATGGAATAGGCAACGGTTTCAACAGTCTGAGGGGGGCCTGCGTGGAACTCTTGTTTCATTGACACACTTTGTGGCCTCTGATGTACATGATACAGTTGTGTTTCATACCAACACACGTTGTAGGAGGTTTGCATAAGTCTTCCTCCATCCGAAGTGGCCTTAGGCGTCGTGGCATTCCCCCAAGATCAGACTAAGAACTTCTTTGCTGTTGGGGACACAAAGCACCGTAGACTGTTGGCGAAAGTCTCCCTCCATCCGAAGTGGCCTTCGGAGTCGGGCCATTCCCCCAAGATCAGACTAAGAATTTCTTCGTTGTTCGGGACACAAAGCCTATCATGCACATCAGTCTTCTCAAATAGCACTCCATCGGCCGTCCGATAATGAGGAACTT